CTTCTTTGCTGTCATTAATTGGATATGGGCTCCAACCGTAAAAAACAGCAAAGACAACTTATTTTTCCATCTAAGAAAGTGCTCTAATACCAATTTGTTAGGAATCGCCTCTTGAATTAGAAGAAAAGTTTGGTTGAAATTGAATTTCAGCAAGCTTTGAACAATTGCCAAGAAAGGTCTAGGTAGAATCACACACGAGAAACTTTTTTATTGATAATAAGAAGAAGAAACAAATACGGGCGAATAGAGCCCAATAAAACCAAAGAGAAATCCCAACTTCAGCAAAATATAGATAACCCTAACCCTTCCCATCTATTTAGAGCATACAAATATATTCTAATTACTAAACAGCCCCTCCCAAATTCAATTCCCCCCCTGAACCGCCCCCTCTTGAATTTTTTATTCAAAGAAGGGGCCCTAAAAGGAGGACCGGCGATTGTTTGGTCTGCTTGGAATAAACCAGATGTCGGCCCTTGTGCTGGGCTGGCTGGACCGGTCCTTCTTGCACCAACCTAACAAATTCATTTGCATCATATCAATTTTTTCCTAATAGAAGTTCGAAAACTAAGGTTAGGATTTCTTCCAATGCAACTTTCTTTCACTCAAGTATTTTAAGAGCTTCATGAACATTATTTGAAATTTATATGATATCAAGATAAGTGACAAAAGCACAAAATCCAAAAGAAGTTTTAGGTCATGTAAAAATTGCTCTAATTTTGAAAATAATAAAGGCTAGTGCATACTTCATTGGTCCTTGAAAAGACATGTTAATTGTTACCGTCTTGATTTTTTTCCCTCCTAGTATAGGCACGAAGTTCATTTTGCATGGGTTAGATGTATTGACAAGGCGACAATGGAGTTTGCAATTCTGGTGGGGTTTCAATAGGTTGGATAAACTAATACGGTGATGAGGGGGTTTGTAGTTATGGTAAGGCTTCAATATTTAAATGAAGGGAAATGAGAAATGCTCGTTGTCAAGGTTTGATGAGAGAGAATAGTGAATAATCAAATAAATTCCAAACTTAAAATTCCTATTCTTTAATTTCCTCTGACTTGGTTTAAGGTTTATAGTGAATTAGGGGTTCAATGGAGGTCATGTCCTAGAATTGTAATTTTTTCTGGTGAATGGAGTATATAGTTTATATCATTTTAAATTATGGAGGATTCAATCAAGATAACCTTGATAGATTTATGGTCAAAATTGCTCTAATTTTGAAAATAATAAAGGCTGAATATCCAAAGATATTTGGAGAAACAAAAAAATGACTTTAAACTTGAGAAACAAAGAGAGAAGGATCTTAAGAGGGATTTGAAATTTAGGTGATCTTGAGAACATTCTACGAAAGAGACATGCAGTTGTTAGGATAGCTTCTCCTCAAATATATTTCAAAACATTAATGATTAATATTAATAATCTAGCAACCTCTAAGAGATGCCTATTTTTTATTTCAGCAAGTTCATTTTATAGAGGGGAGTCAACATAAGAGCTTTGTTGGATAATCTCTTAATGTAGGATATATTTTACTTAAACTGATTCGAAGTATTCTTTGACATTTTAGAAAATAGATTTTAACCTGAAACTGAGTATGGATCACGGTGTTAAAATTTCATGCTTTAGATTTTTCTTTGATTAAAAAAACGCAAGTGGCATGGGTATGATAGTCAACGAAGGAAATAAACAATCTAGCTCTAAACATGCTTCTGCTATAGATGGTCCCCACACATCATTGTGGACTAAAACAAATGTTAGAAATGTTTGCATGTTGGACTACGATAAATTTCACAATTAAAAATCCTTTTAATTGTTGTTGGTAGAAAAAGATGGAATATATTTTTTAAATATAGTTTGAGAGACATAGGCGTAATGTCAAAGTTTATACATTAACATTATTTGAAGTGTGTTTAAAATTTGAAGTGTTTTGATAGATACAAAACCGGTCATTTGAGTCGTACCTTGAGAGACTATTTTTTAGAAGATAGAATCATGATACATCTAAGCACTGTCAATCAATCTCCCCGAGTTCAAGTCCTAAAAGTGATAAAAAGTAAATGAAAATTTAGCAACACAATTTTTCTTAAGTCTCTTTCTTTTTTATGCAATATTATAACAAGTTAATAGTATGAGTATAGTAAAAGTAATTACCAAGAATTACCCGAGTACAAAAATATATCGAAGGACAAAAATATGATGTATGAAACAAAAAGATAAACCATCCCATAGAACTAAATGACACATTTGGACCACCTACTAGAAACCTAGTGAAAATAGGAGAATGATAATATTTTTTTCGTTTAAAGCACCGTCTAGTAAATAAGTTTTGAAATCACTAATCCATGAGAATATATCCACTCCTAATGCTCCCATCTGAATCCTCGTGATACAGAACATCATGGTTAAGCACTAAAAACACGAAGTATTAGATGTTTTGAAAGCACGATTTAAAATTACGTAGTTTGATTTTGAGGGCATTTTTCCTCCGTGATGCCAAGTGTAAGCCTTGAGTCATTTTGAGGTGTAAGTCTTTGAATAAAAAAATGGTGCAAAATAAGAGTGTTGTATGCACATCAAAGTATGAAGTGAGAAGTAACATATAAACATCATAATCTATGAACATATTAAAAAGTAACGCATTAACATCCTAACATAGAAAGTAGTAATAGATCATGCAAAGTATCAAGTAACATATTAATATCATAACATCAAATTAGGACGTAAGAAGTATTATACAAACATCAAAGAGTTCCTTTTAGTGGATGTAGAATTGATTAGGAGGCGGCAACAGCCACTGCGGCCATGGCTAGAAAAGAGACGGACGATGGCATGCGTAAAGAATTTAGAAGGAATTACGTGACAGGCGCTCTGGTAATGGCTATTCCGTGAGACCGAAGGTGTTCATGAGTGAGGCATGGTACTATTTGTGTACGTAGAAGTGCTTTATTATGTTTATTTTACTTTTTTTTAAAATATGCCCTATCTCTAAACTGAGTACGCCTCACATAGCACCAAATGAGGTGTGAGCCTCATTGCGAATTTTCGAAAAAGCACTGATGTGCCCCTCTCATATTGTGCAATTTAAACCATGTTTGAAAGAATAATAAAACTTATTATAACATGTTTAATATAAACTCATTTGTAAACCAAATATTATAATTTTAATGAAAATGATTGTAATTATGAAAAGCATTTTTCTCTCCTATTATAAGATCTGACACTTTTGAGTCTACTAAGTAGTAGCATTCTCTTTATTTGCAACGAGGACATTTGAGAATCTACCTTTTCGAGCAACCAAGAATATTCTAGTAATGTTTCAAGATAAGCTTTGCTAAGAGAAAAGTTTGTCATGCTTTGTTTTTCGGTCATATGGATGATAGAGAAAAAAAAGAGTTATTGTGATTTGTCTCTATCATTGGTTCCTTAAAATTTTTAATCCATATATTTCATCCTAGATTTTCTATGTTTCGACTATTTCTATATTGAGATCGATTTCCAACGTTCATATTATCGACTTTTAACTACTATTTTTTCCTAGCAACTATTACTGATTTCTTTCCAAGAGGATCCTTCAAATACATTTTCACCACTCTTGTTGGATGAAAATTAGCATTCAATGTAGGTTAAGGACTCATAAACTTGGAAGAGAAATATTATGTTGAAGGGCTTATCAACCTCATAGGGAGTAGAATCTTAATGTCTCTTAATACCATCTTGAAAATTAGAATGCGAAAAAAGAAATGGGAGATTTTTGGATTAAATTTTATTCCTTAGTTTTGCATTTTAAAAAAAAATTGTACATAAATAGTAGAGAAACTACCATCAATAAAAGAAATAAAGTTGAAAAAAAAAAGTCTTTCATTCAATAATTCAAAATTAATAATCATCGCATAAATATAATGTTGTTGTCCATCAATAGTTGAATTTTTGTACATGAAAAATTATTGTCCACAGATTGCTTGATTGTTGTGATAGAAAGTTGAAGTCCATGAATTGTTAGGTTGTTGTAGATGAAAAAGTATGGGCCATGATTTTATATTTATTTCAATAACTGAAGCCAAGAGAAAGTTGATAATGACTTAAGTGTGAAAAGGAAATAATTGGGTGAGAGTTAGAAGATTTTAAAATCCACTCTATGAGGCCATTCTTAATTAAAGCATCTGTAGAGAAACTATAAATGAGATAAATATTTATAATACTCAACCTAAAATTGAAGAAACAAGCTACAAATACCAAGCATATATCAATAACTAAAGGCCCAATCAACAATTTTGTGACAAATCAATAAACTCATATTAGAATTTAATAAATATTTTCTACAACATATTGCAAAAACATAAACAATACAACAAGAATTTAATGCATCGTCTCCATTTACTAAAAAATAAGAATAAAAGATGTGTGCATGGCTGCCCTAGACATTCTATTGGATAAAACACTTTAACCAAATTAAAAAAAAAAAAAAACAAAACCAAATCGATCCATTGCCGCATATTCTGATCATGCACTATAATTTTCTTTGATACCTAAAATTTATATATCCATCTCCATTTATGTATCCCCCCAGACCCAATTCCCATCCCTTTCCACCCATCTAACAATTAATCTATGTCTTTCTCATGCACTCCAACCCAACCCCACTAAATCCCCTCTTAGTACCAACATTATCTTATTTCACACCACTATCATCCTGAACCCCTTTCCCTCTATTATATGAGAAAATAATATTGTCAAAGTATGGATTAATTTATCAATAGTTACATGGATGATTTCATCCCAAAAATATGTGTAGTTACCAAGAGGAATTACGGACGATAATATGGTGATGCATCATAACTAGAAATTACAAAAAATGACCAAATTCTATGCTACGAAAAAAGTACATGGACCAACTTAATGGCTTTAATGAAATATTGTTTGCATTGCATGCCACAATAAAGGGGGACCATGGAATTCCACCCATAAATAAATCGTCACCGCTTCAAAAAGAATGTGGAGCATAACGAACCTATGCATCTCAAAGGAGAAGGCAAGAAAAGAAAGCTTTCCTGAATCTGAAAGAACCACCAATTGATCTTTCCCTATCATCTGAACAATTAGTTTTTTCCACATACTTAGCAATGAAAATTTGAAATCTCCAAAAAAAGCAAAAATTTTAAAACAATGATCCGAAAGGAAGAAGAACAAAACCTGTGGCCTTGATTGCCTAAATTTATCATTCCATCCTAAGATGGCAAGATCTTTGATAATCCCAAATACAGGTTGCTCGCAGATTGATTGCACTATTCCATCTTCATCAATTACCACCAACTCCAAAGATGTCTCCTAAAATGAATAATAATATGATAAAATTATATTTTGTAGAAAATTGTTTATAGAAAATAATTGGCATAAAAATTGAAGGAAATTATACAATTAACAACACATATCATAAATATAATATTTTACAACAGAAATTTGTAATAAATTCTCCAGAATTATTAGGGGAACACCTTAAATACCGACCATTTTATGGAGAAAAATCTGATATTATCCTAAGATTAAATAATACAAATCTAAAAAGGATTTTTGGAAATACCCAAGCAAACTTAATAATCAAGTGAGAATAATGGGGGCCACAATCTCAATTCCCCTCCCCAATATAACATGAGAAGTTGGGGTAGGGTTTTCACGATCTCCATTCATCTCCTACTTTATTGATAGCCACTACAACAAAGTTGCATCAAAGCTCCAACTTCTTCCTTTCCTTTATCGTGACTCACTGATGTTTCACCTTTCATTTCACCCATTTCCCTTCTCTTGTCTTCACCATAACTTTGCTTCTCATCCTATTTGACGTTAACCTAAGAAGTTCATGGGAAATTCTCAATCTGCATTGTATCATAATTTTTATCATTGCCTAAACTCTCGTTATTGTCAAGTGTAACCATTAGAGATTGCCATATTTACAAAAGGATTATTTCCTTGGTTGAGTCGTTACTCAATCTGTTTAATCATATTGTCCTAATTGGAAAGTTAACAAGGTTCCCATCCCTTTTAATCCAACTAATTGAATTATTATTTGATACATTCATACAATTTTAATTTGTGATATATAGATTGGATTAAAGTAACATTTACATTGCATTGACTAACAAGCACATTTTTAATTCCACTAGTCAAATTAGAATAAAATAACTTATGTCTAATAATGTCGTGTCTTTTAACTTAAATTAAAATAAAGAATAGACTTCTACCAAAGTGTTCAATTTACAGCAATCGATGACCTCGATAGAAATGAATGAAAAATTAAGGATTCATCAAGATAACTGTAAATAGTTGGATGACCCTAAAGATGATGATGATGGTTCTAAAATCAATTAGGACAACAATCGGTGAACCGCAACATGAACGCATAAATGGAAAATGAAGTTTTATAAAGCCAACCCCAAATAGTTGGGATAAGGTTAATGATGATCATGATGATGATGCTAAAATATGTTTGGATTGGCTTTTTTTTTTTTTTTTTGCGGAAGTATTAAACAATTTTAATTCATATATATGAATTATCTCAAAATAAATACATGTATGTTTAACATAGAATCCATAAAGCAAGACTTAGATTGTTCAGGGAAATTCTCAGTGGGTTCGAACTCAGCAAATCTAGTTACAAATGGACCAAGGAGTTGTCAACTTCATGCATATGTGGTTTACATAAAGCTACTTTGATTTTGGAGGAAGAAAAAGAAAATAGAATAGAAAAATCTTCAGAGGCACTGCGAAAGTAATTCAAGCAGGTATCCAGAAAAACTCCTCCCGCATTTCGATTTCACCCATGGACTTAGATCATATAACCGAACTTGAGGCACAAAAATGCATTCTTTTTATCATTTCTTCTTCGTTGTTTATTGGCTAATGAGACAAGATCCTCACAAGCAGCCTATTGCATCTAAAACCCACTGCACATGGTCATCTTCTTTTCATACATTCAAACGACCAGATGCAACAAATTCGACAGAACCTCGATCGAATGCTTTGAAAAATCTAAACACGGAATCAAGGCAGAGCTTAACAGAAATATCAAAAGAAAGCCAACGTGCGGAAGAGAAGTAAATCGAATCGATGAAGAGTGGTACCTTTCCAAATACGATGTCATCGGAGGTCGGGGAGCGGAGATGGCCTCGGACTGCGTGGATGACGGCACTACCACGAAGTAAGTACTTCGCCAAGTAGTACCCGCCGGGCCTCGGCGCCGACTGTTGAGGGCTAACGCTGCCGGAATCCTTTTCTCCTTCAGACATGCTTAACAGTCTCAGGCTATCGCTGTGGAACTCGACTCGATATGGTGCGATTTGATCGGGTAAACTAGTAGGCAGGGGCGGATACACCTTTAAATTTTACGGGGTCAAATTTATATCTAAAAATGAAGAGTTTTTTTTTTTTTATTTTTAATATCCTTACTATTAAAATTTATTTCGAGAGCGTTGTTTCTTAACCTCTATTTGTTCATCCTTATATATTTGGCAGATATGTCGAGTGTTAAGGGGGTAGCGCCCCTTAGCAAGATTTGACCATATAAATAAGGGATTACATACATATCACTTTATAATATTTTATTTACATATATATAACACCCAAAATTTTAATATTACATGCATATCACCTTATATTATTTTAATATCAAATATAACACTTATATTTCTTTCCTACCACTCATATATTTTATTTTTACTACTCCTATTTGATATGAAAATGAACTAAAGATGGTATGTATGTAATATTAAAGTTTTAGGAGTTAAATATCTAAATAAAATAATATTAAGTGATATGTATGTAAATCTCTCTAAAAAGAAATATTTACCCGAAATTTAAGGTGGATCCGCCTAGGGGTGTCAATATTTGACATGACCCAAAAACCCGACTCGAACCCGACCCGAAAATTTCGGGTTAGGGTCAACCCAAACCCGAAACGGGTCGGGTTCGGGTTCAACATTTCGACCCGTTTCAAAAATCGGGTCGGGTTCGGGTTAACCCTTTGACCCGAAATTGACCCGAAAGTGACCCGATTTTGACCCGAAAACCCCATTTTGACTTGGCAAACCGAGATTGACCCGATTTTGACCCGGTTTTGACACAAAAAGAGGAGATTGACCCGTTTTTTACCCGAAAATTAGCAATTTTTTGTTGAAAATGGGTCATTCGGGTCGGGTCGGGTTGACCCGGACCCGAAGCGGGTCGAGTTCGGGTCCAAGAAACTGACCCATTTTTAAAAACGGGTCGGGTTCGGGTTGACCCGAATAGTGCCAGGTCAGTTTCGGGTTCGACCCGAACCCGACCCGTGACCCGAAATTGACACCCCTAGATCATGGGCGGGCTTGGTATAATCGTATAATGATCATGTAAAATGATGGTGAAAGAGAAACTTTTTTCTCTAGAGAAAATATTCTGTGTGGACACCGAACCTTCCCTCAGTGGTACACAGCAAATGGGTGATGTGGTGCGTTCTGATTCACTTAGATGACGTCCGTATCCGCACAAAATAATTTCACCTTTTTTCTGAAAGATCGTAATTTATTATTTTTTATAGAATATCTAAGTATTATGATAATAATAATAAGTTCATGCGGATAATTATGTCTATCACCTTAAATGTAATATATTTATCAAATTGTCATTTTTTTGGAGGATTTATATATATATATATATACAAAGATCGTGCATAACAATACTCTCAATAAGATGATATAATCACAATTGGATATTCTGAATGACGAGGAAATAAGGAGCTCATCCAAGTTGCTAGTTTTGTTATTCATAAATTAAATAATAATAAATTCATGTGGATAATTATGTCTAATTGTCTACCACCATGAAAATATATGTGGAGTTGCTAGTTTTTTTTATTTGTAGTATTTTAAATATGAAAATGATAAAAATTTGAATGAGATGATAGTTTTTTTCTCTAACCTTGCACACCAAAATACGCACAAGGCACGACCTAATCAGACTCACGAACAATTGAGGTATACTCGCCATGGACTGAGTCAGACTCACCCTAGCCTAAGGGGCCAAATGCCCCAACCAATGGGATTACTTGCTCTAGCTTGAGACACCACTCACCTAGTAAGTAGAACTGTAGAAGCTACTCTCCTATGCCTATCCCATGATGATGACTAAACAAGCAAGTCACCATTTGTAGCATCAATTGTCAAATCCAAGTGATTTTTGTAACTAATTCTTAATTTTCTAAGTTAAATGGTACTTATGAGTCTTAAAATGTTAAATGGGATAGAAAACAACCATGGTTAGTGATTAAAAAGGTGAAAATCCAAATTTAGATTTTTGTTATGTGGGCACCACAGTGCGGAAGGATGCAATGCCTTGGCGGCAAGCTCTCAAAAAAATTGGCCAATAAATAGGTTTGGGTGAAGATCGCTACAAACTAAAGCATCACCACTACGATGGGTTGTAGGTGAGCATAATTTAGGGCCATCTAGAAGGTTCTCTAGAGCACTGCAACGCTGGGGCAGTCATGTGTTGTGGCACTTGCCGTAGAAGGAAGGGTGAGAATGAGGATAGGATAGAAGAAAGAGAAAGAGGGGATGATTTGGAGGTGAAGGTTTGGAATTCATCTTTCAAGCCAGTTCAAAAAATTGTATAGCTCCATATATACTCCTAAATTCCAGCCTCTAATTTTAATTCCAATTAATTATTCAAAAGCTATGAACAAAATTTTATTTTTCTTGAGTTTTATGAAGTTTTCATTAGGGGTGTCAAAAATGGGTTGCGGATCTAGTTCGGGTCGAACCCGATGACATGCTACTATTTTACCCGACGAAAAACCCGACCCGATTTTGGAAGCAGGTCAAAAATTTGAACTGGGACCTAACCCGCCCCAAACTCGGGTCGACTCGAGTCGACACGCTAACCTGGGCACAAAGCAGGCAAGACTGCATGGGCTGCAGGTGCACAAGGTCGAGCGCGAGCCACGGGTGCTCTGGGTCGAGTTCAACCCTGGGCAAATGCAGGGTGAGTGCGAGTGAGGGGGCCTGGGTAGGGTGTGATGTCCCAGAAATTGCAAAAAAAAAAATCATGCAAGTAAAATAATATAATTTCAATGATATAGAAAAGATGATTTGCAATTTTGAGTTATAATGGCCCCAAAAAAAATTATTTGACTTAGTCAACATACGGGTTATTACAATCTACACACTTTAAGAAAATATCATCACCGATATTTCTCTTAAGGATTCAGACATAAAATTGAGATAACTAAATCCATACAATCAAAACTCAAATCAAATCAAAACTCATAAAAAATCATAAAGTCAAACCGTTCATTGTATCACATGTGATTCAATTATGTATACAAACTAATGCATCTTAATATATCCAATTTATCCGATTCACAATTAATTCCTACAACTCTGGTAATAATCAATTCTTTCAACAAATATGCTCTGATACCAGTTGTCATGTCCTAGAAATTTAAAAAAAAAAAATCATGCAAGTAAACTACTATAATATCAATGTTATGGCGAAGGAGATTTGCGATTTGGAGTTATAATTGCTCCAGAAAAATTTATTTGACATAATCAACATACGTGTTATTATATATGGGATGTGGCGTTGAGTCGTAAGTGCAAGCAAGGCAGGTTGTGGGTGTGCCGGTTAGAGGCTGGCAGCACGCGCGCGGGTGAGGATTGTATGGCAGTCCGCTGGTGTGAGATGCGGGGTCGAGCCTCGAGCACGAGTGCACTGTGTGGGATGTCAGACGTGGAATTGAGTCAAGTGACACTAGGATCTGCGTCATCCTAGTCAACTTCGGATTTTTGTGTCAATCTGAACCCAACCTAATAAAAACGGATCAACAATCTAAACCCGAACCCAACTGGTTTGCCAAACAGTTGACCTGAACTAACACAAAATTTTTTTGGTCGAGTTTTCGGTCGGGTCATATATCGGCACCCTTAGTTTTCACCATGTGATTTTTGGTATGTTGTTTTGTTCCTTATTATGGACATTTTGGCTATATACAACCTGAGCTTTCAACGATTAATTTTTTTCGTGCAAATATTTGAGTATATTATTGAATTATTATTTTCTGGGCAATAATAGTGACTATAAAAATCTTGAATTATTCAGATGAATATATGTTTGATGGTAAAAATTGAAAAGGGAAAGTTTAGTGAGTAGTCTATTTTACAAGTGTCGTGGCATTTTACTTACAATTTTTACATCATCTGAATATTACGTTAAATGCCTAATTTATTTATTATTAATGCATTGCATTGTATTTTTTTCATTACATGGCATTAGAGATGTTATGTTCTGAAAGATGGAAAAGTGTACTATGTGCTATGTTACAAAGGGTCATAGATGTACTCTTTTGGCTCAATCTACCTAATGCAAATGTAGGAGGGATTATAGTCCCACTTACTGGAAGTAGGTGTGGGATGTTAAGTAACACTGCAAGTACTCTTCGGACTCTTCTTCATGATATAGATTTGGGAGGGACTATGGCCCCACCTATTCTGTGTAGGTGTAATAACTCATATTTTGACCCAAGTAAATTTTTTTTTTCTGGAGTCCATCTAACTTCAAATTGCAAACCGTCTTCGTCATACCATTATTATTATAATATTTTACTTGCACTAATAAATAAAATTAGATAGCTCTGGTTGTTATTTATTAGAAGATTAAAAGAATAATTTCTTTCAATTTAGATTCTATGACATCACAGTAGTGTGAGAGGTAAATAGAGGTATAAAGGGAAGTGAAGAGAAAAATAGACATCATAACATGTGTATCCTAGTCATGGAATTTTATGTGTTAATGTTTCTGCAATAAGGTTATGAAATATTTTGAGCCATGTTTTCGTGAATTATGATGTTATATATAAATTCTGACGGAAAGTGGAAGTGAAAATAAATGCAAGTTAGTATATAAAAATGGTTATTCTTTACAACATCTAAAGACATCAGTGAAAGTGATTATGTGCTTATAAAAGTAAATGTTGACCTTGATATCAGGTAACGTTGTGGACTTTTGTAAATTCTTATTTTACTTATGCTTTATGTATTATGAAAGCCCTTATGCTTTTCTTTGATTAATTGCTTTTAAATTAATTGTTTTTAGCATGCATAAACTGATTTTGATAACTAAGATGAGTGAATGAGGAGTCTAATGAGCCAGTTAAGTTTACTTTGTTCTTTTAATATTTCAAGAAAATGTAAACGTCCTACCAAGTAAATCAGGAGTAAAGGCAGACTTTTGTGAACTGAATTGCTAAGGTATGATTTTGTAATCAGCATTTAATTATTTGATGTATAGACTTTTATGATATGAATTATTACAATTATATTTTTGGTGAGATGAAAGTTCACTGTTGCATTTATGTTTAAAAAAAATAGTAGCTCTAGTTGTAATTAATGGGTGACGAGCTTCTTTAATTATAGGATTAAAAAAACCTAATCCTTCCATTAGATTCTAGAGCATTACACCATTCACCCTAAAGACATACGACATATCTACCTAACTAGCCATTCATTTATAGAGTTGTCTACGTATACTAAGTGATGTTCCAACTAATACTTCAACATGTGCATACTAAAGTGTTTTTCGCATGTTTGTAGTTGTCTTATCATATATTTTTTATCTATTTTTATAAGATCAATATATATTCTATCTTATAACACTCAAAATCTTATAAATACATGGTTAAATGGTCATTTTTGACATGCATATTGATAATGCACATTTTTGTGCCAAGAGTGAAATCCTCAAAGCTTCTTTCTATTTTTTCTTTCTTCTCTTTATTTCATATTCTATTAAAATTTTGTAAGCCTTGAAAGTAGGGTTATGATGTTGCCCAAAAAAAAAATGGTGTCATGCCTCATGGTCTAATAGAAGAATTATACTTAACCTAATTAACTCATCATCAAATATTTACATATACCAAAGCCACTAAAATCCAACACATAAATCATACACTAACAATATTCACATTTTATATTTCATTTCAAAACAATTATATATAATAATCCAGTAGACCTACAAACATCCAAAATATCTAAAGAATACTTATATTACAAAAAAAAAACCTCGACTACTCAAAACCCTAACTAAACTTCGACCTTTCAACTACTCAGCCAAAGACACATAAATTCATTGAGTGAGCAAACTTCTTGCTCACTTGGCTATCCCAAATCCTATTAGAGAATTCAAAGTCCACATTTGCTTTAATGTAAACACACATAATAATTAGAGATTTCATAATTTAATTTAGGTAGAATTTATCCTATAAGGAAAAACTTTGGTTATTATGAATCATCAACATAACCTTGACTTGTACTTGTACCTTTAACTTTATCTGAAAGATAACATATACATTACATAGACTTTAAACATCATATATATATATATATATATATATAACTTGGTACATTACTTGACTTTAAATATGATTAGAGCTTTTTTCATGTGTCTGTAACTGTCTTATCATGTATTTTTATGATGTCAGAGTGAAACATCAAAGCCCAAAATTCTATAAATAGATAATCAAAAGGTATAAGGATTCTAACATTTTGTACTAGCAATGAAATCATCAAAGCTTCTCTCCTCTCTATCCTATTTCATTGAAATCTCCTATGTCTAAAAAGTAGAGTTCATTTATTATATAATAAATTAATTAATTAATGTTTTACATCCTTTGATTCATTGAATTATCATATTTGTTATCGAGTTGAGCTAATTTTGATTATTGTTTGCTTGATCACCTATCAAAGCCTGACTCATGAGCTTTGATTTGAGCTCAATTTAATATTTAGATAGCTCATATATATTAACATTATATTAAGTTAACTAAACCTGGATTTGTTCATTAATAAACTCTTTGCCCTATATTTAAGCTCAACTAAAACTAAATAATTATTGGATTTACAAGCACTCTTGAATATTTGAGTTTAATTTAAAAATGATTAGTTAATGAATTAATATCTTTTTAATAGTAAAATCATCTGTTAGCATTAACTAGATTAATTATTTGTTTAAGATTTATTAAATGTTTAAATAATTAGAAGAAAATTTATTTTCAAATTATTCCTTATACAAACTAAGAAAAATATATTATTAAAAAAACTTAGTGTATGTATTAGTTCAGATACATAAAACAATAAAAAAAAACATAAGATAAACCCATTTAAAATGTTGAGCTTTCATTTTATGTTAGATTTTGATTATGTTAAATATTCTTTGTTTCCTTAAATATTAAAAAATAAGTTTAAAATATACTAAAATCTCATAATTATTAGGATAATTTGAAAAGCATATGATATAAAAAATATATTAGATGCCAATTGAGATGATTAATAACTTTTAAAACTTTAAATGTTAAATGAAGAAACTTTTTATATGCTTAAAAAGATATTAGAATATGTGTATGCTGATTTTCAAAATAATTTATGATGAAAAGCACTTTTTTCAAGCAAAGTAATTAAGGCTTCGTTTGGGATGGCTTTTTTATTGCTTTTTAAAACATAGTTGTAGTACAATTTTTTTAATTTTTGTACTAAAACTCCATTTTCGGAAGCAATAAAAAAGCCGTCCCAAACGAAGCCTAAATTACTTTCCTAACAATAACTTCACAAACAACTTTTTTAAATACTACAGCCATCCCAAACACATCCTTAAACTACCTCATAAGCAATTCATTACACCAATTATAGCATAAATCAACTTAAAGAGCACAAATATTTAAACATTAGGAGCAATCAAAAAAGGCTCACATATAATATTTATAATGCATTTATTGGTGGGTCTGTATTAATAATTGAGTAGCTGATGAACCAAAAAACAATCTCCTAAATACATTAAAAAAGAATTTACATTAACCACAGCTCATCTTAATATGTTGGTTGTGAGCTTCGACTACCAACCAAAAAGTTTCGGTTCGAATCTTGCGTATGTATTGTGTGTTTGAATTTGCCTTAATTGACTCTTCAAATCTTGCATTAATGAGAGTTTCATATAGTTAAGTACAATCTTAATTATTAGTATATAAAAAGTTACAATATAGATCAAATAGAAGAGCACTTTTGTCTGAAAAATTTATATATTCAGACTACAAATTACAGTAGAACCAAAGTACAGGCAGGAAACTAAAAGCCAAAAAGCACCATTGGTTTGGCTATATTAAAGGAAAAATGAGATATTCTGCATAGAAGAGGTTCCAAATAAATCGATAGAATTGCAATATGGCGTCCTGCAAAAGTTTATAAAACAAAAAAAACGTTAGAAAATATCAATATGGTTATGGGAATCATCTTCAAAACTTGTTGCCTGCTAAATTTAACACAAGGATAACACTAGTGATCATAATTTCGATTCAAGCATTGGCATTGCTTAGATCAAGCTAGCATATTATTGGGACTTAGGTTTTGTTTGGAACGGCTTTCTTACTGGTTCTCAAATAAGTTTTTTAGAAAAAACTTATTTAAGAAGCAGTCCCAAACGAAACCTTAATGTTGCTATCATAAACAATTTAATTCACCAATTGAATGAATCTGTGCCTAGTTTATGCTGCACTAAAACAATTTAGACAGACTCGTTGGCATAACAAACAAAACATCTAAATCTGGGAAGCCAAATGCAGATTAGATACTAGAAAACCAGGCAAAAAGTATTTGGTCATGAAAGCCTAGAACATAAGATTTATATTAGTATTTGGTCATGAAAGCCAGGCAAAAAGGCACTCTGAATTTTCCAGGAATTTTAGAATTCAATGGTTGTTTTCTTCAAAATTGGGACTTGGGAGTTGATAAGAACACTACAGATAATATCATAGGGTATGACAAACTTTTTTTCTTGAAATTTTATTTTTCCCCTATCGTCATGACTTCTCCATGCCTTTTTACTGTCCAAGTATAGCATTTTGAAGAACAAAATCATAAAGAGAGGCTTAAGATGAAGGACCTAGGAATGCCAGCAAAAATATTAATCCAATGATATAATCAATATAGTTCTCAACAGAAACTTGATAGGCTGGCTAAGGCTCATAATATGACTTTTACCTAACAATTATCACTGCCCCAAATTGATAATAATAACTTTCTTTATCTCTGTCATTATCAGAATACATGCAATTTTATTTCTCTGAAAACAAGAAGTGGGATGGTCTTGGCTTTGCAATGACATTTCAATACAACATCAAGCCTTTGTCCCACTACGTGGGGTCGGCTATTTGAATCCTTTTTCAGCATTGTGTCCTGTTAAAAGTCAAATTCTCGTTTAAATCTAATAAAGAAATATCATTTCTAATATTTTCTAACCAAGTCTCTTTAGGTCTACCTCTACCTTTCTTAACATAAGTTCGGGTCATCGAAAGGCTGCCGCTTTTATGTGACCAAACCATCTAAGGTGACTCTCTCTAATCTTATCTTCCAATGCTGCTACTCCAACCTTTTCACGTATATGCTCATTTTGTATCCTATCTCTAAGGATAAAGCCAGTAAGCCACTCATCCACTTGAGCATCCTCATCTCAATCAACTAAAAAAAATCATACTTTCAAAATAAATAAATAAACAACCCAAATTATCAACGTGTTTGATGTGCACTAGATTGGCCTTATCACTAGTTTGTGCCGCTCATACAAGATGATTACGTACACCGTTCTAGCTAATGATAGCTTATTTGGATAGTTTGGTGTACACATCTCTTTTCTTTTAAACTGATATGTTCTCTATTTGAGGGACACAGTTTTACAGCACAAGCTAGAGTTAAAAATGTAACTAGAGAGCATAATTGATGCATTCATGTTTTTACTTTATTTTTGTTTTAATGTATTTTGAACAATGTTAGTTGTATTTTATATTTTTTTTAAGCTATCCAATGATGGTTGGGCATCTAATGATCATGGTAGGAAAGTGCTTGGGCATGGCAAGCCTTGGGTTTGCTTACAATTGGTTCCTTCTTGTCCATGGGCTGCTTGTTGTTCTCGGTTTGGAGATATTGCTGCTCTCGGGTGGGGCCTTGGCTGCTTGGTGTTGAGCTCAAAATTCTAGATTCTACTTGATGTTAGCTCATTAATGATTGAGCTGAAGTTTAGCTCAATAATTGGAAGAATAAATGCACTTCCTAGCTCATTAAATAAAAAATGTATACTTCTATTTAAGCTCATTATTGTGGAGTGGACTTGCGTCTCTTCCCTTCCCATTGTCTTTTCGGTTTCTATTGGCTGTTGTTGTTCCCGTGGTCACTCCCTCTCAGTTTTACCCCTCCTGGTTGTTTTCCCGTGAAGTGCTGCCCTGTTTCCTGTGCTGGCTCTTCGGGTCCCTTGCTGGCTGGGCTTCCCATGGCTGCTGGTTGGGATTTTCCGTGGCTTCTCTCCCTATTTTCTGTGCAGAATTTCTGCTGGCTTTTATGTGTCTTTTGGCCTTTCCTCTTCCCCTTGGCCGATTGGTTTGATTGGGAATTTTAGATGGCTGTTTGGCTGCCCTTTTCTTCTATAAATAGGAGATGTTTTGTATGATAAAAGGAGAGTTTTGATGGCTGATTTTTGGATAAAAACCTGAGGGTTTTTCTTGGAAAAGCCTGAGAGCTTGTTCCATTTCTTCCTCTCCTTCTTGGGATAACTTGCGAGTTACTCCTATACTTCATCTAGTCTTCTAACCTCTTTCTTCTATCCGCAAGTGATCACCCCACCTGCATTCTTCTCAACGGATGAAATGCAATTTTAGGAAGTCTTATGTGTTGTTTTATTTTTATGTCATAAGTTTGTAAGCGTCCTTTGTTGTAAGTGTCTTTATATGATATAAAAGCTGTTTATTTGAAATTCTTGTGTCATTTCTATCTCCTAGGAAGGTTGTGTTCTTGCTTGCAAAAATTTGGGGCTTTTTTCAAATTTTTGCTTGCATCAATAATTTTCATTATCAATAATATTATCCATATTATTTGAGTTCAGCCTTTTGAATCTTTATTTTGAGTAACACAGTGTTAACTTTTCACCCAAGATTTTTTCACACAACTTCAAGCAGTGTTATCTCTGGCTACTACTCTCATTTCTTTCACACGAACTCTATCTACCTGCTTATTGGTGTTGTGCTTGCATAAACTATGTAATTCTACTTGCCACAAACTTATTTTCAATCAATTTTATGCATAACATTTCTCTAACAATTATTTTCCACTCCATTTACTTAATTTCATCGCATTCATCTTAACAACCTCATCTTAAGTCTTAACTACACTCCACACACTTTAAAGACTACTTGTTTTCAAATATGAACAATCAATTAACCAGAAAACTAGGTTCAAGTCAATTCGACCTGGTTCAAATTAAGTCAACTCGGTCTCACATCAAAAAGAATTCTTCAAGTCTACAAGTGAATTCGTCCCAAGCAGCGACTACGACCCGTGAATTCATCCCAAGCAGGCGACTATGACCTGTGAATTAGTCCAAAGCAAGTACAACCCAATCAAGTCGGTCCTAGCGATTCTTCAAATGGACGGCTTCCTTAATGTGATAAACTATTGTTCGACTACTCACCAATTCATACACTCCAAATCAGCAACTTTTTACTAACTAGACAAACAACTTCCTCAAGTTGGATATTCTAGTGACTTTAGCTATATTTCATCATGGGAAATTAGGCCATACAACTCTTGTATTGGTTCTTTTTTTTTTTTAATATATCCATATATGTAGCCATTTATGTAGTGCTCAAATTTCAAGCCAAAATTATAAAAAGGGGAGGATGAGCTTAGTTTACATAATTTTCTGCATCCAAACATATTTTTTGTGAAATCTCATAACTTCTCACTCTAAAATTATTTCATTCTCTCTCTATTTATTTATCCTCTTTTCATCCAGAGTACTCCAAGAAAAGTTTCGCGTGATTCAAGGTCAATTCTAAATTCAACATCTTAAAAGATGCCATAATCATGGACCATGTCACCTATTTCAAACCTGACATTTTGTTGTTTGATATAGTGATGCATTCAAGTGTATATTGTTCTTTACTACATTCATGAAATCGCCTCTGTTGTGGTTCTCACATATTCCACTCAAGGTGAACACTTCATTTGCTAAGTTTAAGAGAACATTTATCGCCCAATTTTACAATGCGAGGAGACCTCTAAAGAATTTGGAAACTTTGTTGTCCATGAAGTAGGAGTCGAGTGAGTTTTTGAGGAGTTATATCACAGTTCTAAAATGAGAAGCTTGATGTGAATGATTTTGAACCAACTGTGGCCTAAGCCGCTCTAACATAAGGTCTGTGAGAAGGACTTTCCAATATCCATTTGACTTGCAGCAGCTAGAAACTTTGGCCAAGTTATTAGAATTCGCCAATAATCATGTTAATGCGAATTCACCAATAATCATGTTAATGCAGGGATGACAATTCTGATATTAGTGCTGCAGCAACAGAGGAAGGACAAGTATTATATGGGAGGAAATTTTCAGAAATTTCCCAAAGACTAGAGAAGTCGCCCCATTAATCAAAGTTATGAAGAAAAACTTTACAATGATCAAAGAAGAAATGCAGAGTCTCGCGAACTCGTCCTTTTGAGGGGTGAATGTGAAATGAAGAGCAACGAGATGATTGCCAAAAAAAATCGCCACCACTTCAAACCTGCCAAATACCGACTTTCATTCCATTGAGAGTCTCAATGGACAAGATAATTGAAATCATTTAGAATAAAGAATATTTCAAATACTAACGCTAATGAGGGCAGGAGGATACCTCCATGATCAATCAAAATATAGTGCATACCACCAAGATCATGACCATAATACTAAGGAGTGCCAACACGTTAGGAGTTCTGTCAAGGACCAAGGGAAAGCTAGTAAATTAAAAGAATTTGTTCAATCTAATGTATGTAGAAGGCCGAGGAAGGCGCCCATGGAAGAAGCACGAAATGATCGATCTCAACGCAAACAATTTATGACAATGGAGTTCTTCAAGCTATGAATGGAGAGTATGAGAATAGGGTTCTCACCAAGCAATCCTTAAACAATTTTGATCGGGAGGTGAACTTGACAAGTACCTCTAGGTTGTTTATTATTGTAGTGTCGCTCATCACCTTTATTGGCCAATGAATGGTAACCCATACAATGATGCGGAAGTCATCATGATCATTATTGCAAATTATCACAGTGCTCTAATCAACACTAAGAGTTTTGTAAATATCATTTTCAAAAATGTATATGAAGATGAATTTGGGCGTTTCAAACTTATCGCCAACTTTCGAGACTCTTTGACTTTTTGGGCAGCGAAGAGAGATAGGAGTGATTGTGCTGCCAATCACTTGGATAGAAGGTGAAAGGCAATTCACCATGATGGTTTGACTTCATAATTATCAATATATCGACTACATACAATGCCATTTTTCGCCAACCATCTTCTAACACTTTTAAGGTAACCGCCTCTACGCATCATGTCATCACAAAATTTTCATAGGAGATCATGTAGTGACAATAAGAGGAAACTTGCTACAGTAGGGGTGTGCTATTTAAAAATAGGAAATGTGCAAGTGGAGATTATACAGCTAGATGTTCAGAGGGGATTCAGATTGGAGTCTACTAAGGTTCTCGAGGAAATACCAATCTCCACGAAGACCTAAAGCCGCAGTTTTCGAATGAACACAACTTTTGATGAAGAATCAAAGACGAGTTAGTTGTGACTCATAAGGAAAAGAGTTGGTGTAGTTTCCTAGTCAACTAATGAAATGCCAGACGTACATTAAATGTCGCCTGCCACTAGCTTAACATTAATAAGAAGATCAGGCTAACAAAAAGATCATGCCAACATTAATGAGAAGGCAAGGCCGATAAAGTAGAAGATCAAGCTAGTTGCAATAATGTTAGCTAAGCCAATTCATATGGAAGTTCAAAAACTCCTTGAGGCCATATTCTTTAGAGAAGTTGAGATCCGAAGTGAATTTCGAATGTTGTAATGGTGCAAAAATCAATGATAAATGACAAAAGTACAATGAATTTACATATTCAAACTCGACTTACCTGAAGGACAGCCATCCACTTACACGAATGTATTCTTTAGTCGACTATGTAGTTGGCTATCCAATAATAAACTTTCTTGATGCTTTTTCATGAAGTCATCAAATTAAAATGTATCATGGAAATTGTGAGATGAAGACTTTCATTATAAGTGATGGGTTATTTTGTTACATTTTAATGTTATTTCATTTAAAAAATAAGGTGCAACTTATCAAAGAAGGGTGGATTAGGTCTCTTGAGACGAACGATGACTGAATCTAGGAGCATAAGTTGATGATTTACCAATCAAAAGCAAAAACCTAGAAGAACATACACTTGACTTGAACTAAACTTTTTTAAATTTTGAAAAAAATACAACATGAGACTCAATCCTTTCAAATTTATTGGTTTTTTTGTTGACTCTAGAAAATACAAAAATAAATCCATAGAAGATGAAAATAATTCTTGAAATACCCTATCCTAGAAATACAAATGATTTATATCGGTTGATTGGGTAAATTACATGATCGAGCAAATTGTTCGCAGTTCCTAAGGTTTGGAAGAAGTGCTAAGCATTTCTTGAAGAGTAGTTGCATAGCTCAAGAAGAAGAGAATAAAAAAATGTATAAAGAGCATTTTAATAAAAATATCAATCTCATATTTATAGGCTAAGTATGCACTGATGTGGACAAAACGACAATATCCAAAGTCAAAATCAATTTAATTGAAAAATATCTAATATTAAATAAATATTTTCTGTGTAATTAATAAAGAATATTTTTATATTCTATCATTTTTTGCAATAAATATTCAAAAATATAAGAGAATCAAGAATTATATGTATAACCAATTATCCATAAAATCATGTTCAAGCCAAGTCGCTCGATTCAAGTTAAGTCAACTCACTCTCAAATCAAAAGGAATCCACCAAATATATAAATGAATTCATCTAAAGAAGACTATAAACTGTGAATTCATCCCAAGTAGGCAAGTATGACCTATCAATTTGGCTCTAGCGATTCTTCAAATGAACGACTTCCTTCACATGGGAAACTATTAATCGGCTTTCATCTAATCATGCAAGCCATGTTAGTGACTTTTATTAACTAGATAGACGACTTTCTAAAGTCAACTATTTCAATAACTTGGCAGTCATAATTCTTTATGAGAAATGATGTTACATGACTCTGCCTTTTTCCTTTAATTTTTGTGAATCCATGTGTAAAGCCAAATCTATAACACTAAAGCACTAGTCCAAATCTACAAATCATGGGTCAAGGGATGAGCTCAATTTACACCATTTTCTATTTTTGAGCCTATTTCAATGAAATCTTATATTTTTTTCATTCTAGAATTCTTTCTTTCTCTCTCAATTTCTTATTTGCATTAGGTACTCTCGATAATGATTAAAGAATAATTCTGTATTCAACAAAATACTCGCATTTCTAGCACATAGCTGGTCTAATTGAAACTCTATAAAATTAAGCTGAAATTCCACAGTATTTTGTTGATGCAAAATAATCATTAGGCACTTCTTTATTTTAACCACTAAACTTCATTCCAAAACTAATGCTGCTATTTGCATATCTTCATTATTCAATAGAATAAATCCAAAGTATATGAACCTATCACATTATCACTCGAGCTGCTAGCACAATTGATTGGTAATTATTGTCTCGCATCTCATGTACTCGGAACTTTTTTTTCATTATTCATAACCCCTTGTCTTTTAAAATTTTCCACAAGTGTTTTATATGTTTCATACCAGCAGAGATCTCACCTATCATACATATATAGAGCAACAATGATATTCTGGAAATAGTGGCTCAAAAATTTCATAATACGTTTCAGAAACACAGAATCCCATCATGGCCCTGCACAGCACATTTCATATCAATGCTCGACGGATCCATGCACTAAGCCTCACTATTACTGCACCACCGATCCAAAAAATATTATGTTAAACAAGTATACAACTATACATGGTCATAGTGCTTCTTTTTCTAGTAGTACAACCTGCAGCAGATTTTAGAAAATGCAGCTGCTTTTGCAGTTTATGGTATGTCAGTAGTTCTTAAGCACTCAAGAAAACATATCAGAATTGTGTCCCAAGATGATTAAGTTCAAAAATAATTAAATAAAATATGAACAATTTCTCTTTTACCTTGGTATACTTGGCTTGTTCCAAAACCCATGCCTGAAACCATATGTATCAATCCATTAGAAGTGTGATATACATACAAAAATATAAAAATTAAACTCAGTTCGTCAGGTTAACATTGATTCGCAAGGAATACCTAAATTGCACAAATTCTGTACAGAAAAATGCAAAACAACAATGCCAAAGAAAGACTGCCAGAAAAGTGCACAAGACATATTAAATTGGTTCAAAAATGTATAACGAAGAGCAGTCATAAGGTGGATGACTTGAAGGTTAAAGCAAGGCGGGGAAGATCAGCAATGACTTTTCTTGATGTCACTTTTTGTTTCAACTTTCTATTTTCATTTTAAAAGCAATTACAAAACAAAGGTTGATTGTTTAATTTGTTTTGTTTTTTTATATAAAAATAGTCAAAACAGATTCTTTGTTTTAATTTTAAAACTATTTTCTTTGGTAAAACGACCTCCCCGTTTACGACCACGATTAATAGCCATGGATTGCGGTTCTGATCGCCGTCATCACATCAGATCGTCAAGATTGGCTCGTATTTTCTAATGAGAAATCCATAGAAGAATTGTTGTGGAAAATAATTCATGTAAACAAAATATTAACAGAGATTACTAAATATTAACAGAGATTACTGACGTCCAGAAGGGACTTCAGTGAATTGCTAGGAGGAGCCCTTCCCTTCCACTTTTTCATCAGCCCCAAAGGATCTAGGGTGAAAAGTATCAGCTGCTCTAGCATTGTGGACCACCCGTTTTCTTTTCCCCACGGGCTGGAGGAGTGTCCCGAAGGAAGAAGGGATTTCTCTTCCTACTGTAATTACTTTCCTTTAGAGCAAGGGTCCCCGGAACATGAAGGGCCTGTTTGGCTACAAGAAGGATTTAGTAAATCTTGTAAATCTTAGGGAGGAATTAAATTGTAAAACTTAGGGAGGAATTAAATCTAGAATCCTAGCAAATCGTTTGTAAATATTTTCAATATTTAGGGTTCAAATAAAGGAGAAAAAGATGTTCTAATAAGTTGTGTAAATCTTTAAATCCCGCACCTTTGCTCCTCCTTCACCTGCTTACATATTTAGTTAAATTCCATTTTTATTAAATCCTAGGATTTAACTAAATTTTTAACTAAATTTACACAACTAATCTGCACATCTTCTCCCCTTCGTTTAAGAGATTTAAATCCTAAGGATTTAGCCCAAATCCTGTGTTAAATCTTGCAACTAAACAACCCCTAAAAGTAGGAATCAATACAAATGAAATGAGGGGAAGCATGCTGCTACATTGTCAATAAGTAACCTGATGTAGCTTGACAATCCGTTCCAAACCCAACTCCAAAAATCCAAATCTTGATTGACCCTATTATTATTTGTTTTGGGTTCAGGTCAAATCATAGGTTAGATAATTATTCGGGTTAAAATTCAGGTCTAAATCATAAGAGGCTCAGTTATTATTAAAGTCAGGTTCAAGGTGATCCAAATAACCCGAAATCAACTCAAAATTAACCCAATTACTAATAAGGATAGGTTTCTTTAGTTAAGTAAGCTAAATTAATCATATTAGGATTAATTGCATCTTGTTGATCCAAAATGAACAAAAGAATTGCATGATCCATATAATAAACAAGTTAATCGAGTCGAATCAAGTTTAAGTCAAACATTTTGCCTCATATACTAAACAAGTTTGGGTTGAATCAATTATATTCAGGTCAAGTTAACTTCAGGTCAAACTCTAACCCGACCCATCAACCCGGCATGCTATCCTCCTTAAAATTCAAGAACATAAACAAAACAAAATAACAACACAAAAGTTTTTTTCAGCTCATGTTATAGCATAAAAAACAAAACAAACTAAATTAAAAATAATTCCACCACTTAGTTAAAAGGGTTCATGAAAACTATATACTTGGACGGAAATGTCTAGCGTTGAAGAGGACATCGATAGACGATATCGACGAGTTTACCATCATAGGAATCGTAGATCGATGGCTACGATTCACAGTATGTATTTTTGATGCATTTTATGTATGGTAGTTTATTTATTTACGAGATTACATATGTACCCTTTCTTTGAGTTTGTTTCGAGTTGTAGCCCAAGGGGCATATGTGTCATTGTCTTTTTATTTCTTTGGGCCTATATATTGTGGCCTCCTCTTTTGTATTGATGATGATTGATGAATGAAATTTCAGATTTATTGGCTTGATCTCTTAGTGAGTTCTTGAGAGGAGAAATCCTAGGTGAGGGTGAGAGGAATACCCATCAACCTTTGGAAGATTCCAAGGTTCACGGCTCCATGATCTTTTCTTTTTCTCTACATCCAATTCCTCCCTAGCCCATCCACCTGCTGGTCAACCCAAACCCCTCCCCATCCCTTCTCCCAAAGCCTAATCCCAACCCAACCCGCCGTTCCTCCCCTTGGCTGCCCAAGCCGCCGGCCATCCCACCACTTCCCCCCTCTACATGCCCAACCCGCCAGCACCCACTCTCTAGTCCACCTAATTTGAATTTCAAATTCAAATTTTCCCATAATTACTTTCCTAAAATACCTCCTTGCTATTTAGGAAAGAATCCCTGTTGGCATTCAATCTATTTTGAATTTCAAACACCTTCCTAGAAAGTTAAAACCCCATTAGCAAGTTATCTTAAGTTAAATCAAATCTGAAATTAAAATCAGATTTGATTTCAATCACATTAATTCCATTGGGAACCACATACAATGAATCTAGACATGCTTTCCCCTTCTCCTATGCTACGTTTGCATCATACTGATCGATTATCTGCATCTAATTCATTATCAGAAGAGTGCAAATTAATTAATCCACCTTAAAAACATATCATCCTCAACATTCCCAAATCCACCTTAAAAACATATCCCCCCCCCCCCCCCCCCCCCCTTCTCCTATCACATTAATTACAGCAGCAGAGAAGGATGCAATAAAGTATAGTGCTTCTCTTTCCATGTTTGATGTGCAAATAAAAAATGTAATATGCCACATTTTTTATAGCAAAGCTTCCAAAGAGCATTCTCAAACAAACTATGATTTTCACTCTATATGCGCAAGAAATTGTAAGAAAGACAGCAAAGTAAATACTGCACACAGATTTCAGAATAAATAAGTGATTACGAGTGAAGATGCCACATAATGGTAGAGAAAACCAACCTGCAAAATCAAGCCTAATGCGAAGATACCATGTGCAGATATCATAACACTGCGTCTGAAAGCCTGTGTAGAATAGAAAAAATAAAACACACCAAATATACAAACAAAAAAATAAGCAATAAATGGACTGGACAGTATTCTTTGACAGGAATATATTTCAGTAATTAAATGAGCCTTCAGCAAGGAGAAAATAATAGAAATCTTAAGAACAAAATGCACTACAAACTGAAGATTGTTAAAAATAATCCATTCTAAATAATAGGCAGGGGGGTATGAGAAATCAGAAAAATATCAAACTAGTTCAGCATAAATTGTTAGAATCACCTGTGGCATAAAAAGTGCTACAAAAATTGCGCTTGCATAGTTTGCCAGCAATAGCCCAATACCAAGAAGCGCTATATTCCTGACACCAAGCTTAGTCGCAAAAGTTGATATCTGAAACCTGAGCTTATTAATCAGAATCTCAAAATTTGATTCTTTTTTATGGTAATGGAAAGGCAACTATATTGTTCTCAATACTTTCTTGATTGAAGACAATAGTGCTACTATTAATAAACAAACTAAACAGTTGCAAAATAAAATGGCAATATGCATAACAATAATAGTTTCCCTTTTATCCACTGAATAGTATAAAAACATTAAATAATCATAAGCAATTAGAAATGTGTTATGCTCGTCTTTTGCAGTAGTTTTTAAGGACAAATAGTTAAACAGGATTTTGGGTGCTTAAAAAGTTTCTATTAGTAGTCTGTACCGCTAAGGTATCGAATGGCACATTACAGTGCAAAGTTCCCCGTAGAGCCATGACATATAGTTCACGATGCGGCGTGAGCCATTTTAAACATAGCACATTAGCACACAATATTTTAATTAATTAATAATTAATTGTGATATAAAATATATAACATTAAAAAATTAATAATAAGTTAAAATGTATAACATATTAATAAAAATGTGCACGCTATTTTGATGTGCCGCACCGTGTAGTGTGCCATGGCGCGCGCCATTGACATCTATGGAGAAGATACAAATATATCAAAAATATTTGTAGTAATTTCATATGACCCATTATTAAATCAAAATAACTTGATCTTGCTTTAAAATCAATTAAAATTTCAAAAAATTAATGAAAGAAATTCAACTTTAAAATATAATTATCAGCCTTCTAAGGACACCCCAAAAAATGAATCTATAAAAAGTGAAAGTTTACACACCATATTTCAAGTCAAATATGTTGTATGTGTGTGATTAATTAATGAAATAAAGAAGACAAGATATCGTTAGTGCAACGTAAATGAGAATTTTAAGGTGGATAAGATAAACTGAGAGTAGAGCACGTGCAAAGGGTAAAAAAGATGCAAATTAGTAGCCATTTAGGTTATATTGCTCTAAACTGATTAAAAACAAGGAAAGAGTTCAAATCCCCTTAAAGAAAGTATGTACAAAGCATAGCATAATAGAGAAATAGATTGAATTGATTAAAACAATTCAACTAAGAGAAGAGAAAATACAGATATAAGGGTATCTTGATTTAATTTAAAATTTTCAACAAATATGGATGGAAAAGGACTAGAACAAGCTAACATAGCTAGATGTGGTTCAAAATACTTTAGTAAGGCTATCATTAGCATGAAACCCAACAAACAGGAATTACGGTTATGAAGGTTTCAAGAAGCAAACCTCAATGAGTTCGAATTAAGGGTGTCAAAACGGGTCAACAGGTCGGGTTCGGGTCCAACCCGAATTGACCTAAGTCCAAATGGGTTGACCCTACTTGTTTTGCAAATAGGTCGGGAATTTCAACATGGACTGGTTAGGAATTTCAACACAGACCAGACCCGACCCTACCCTCCAACCTGAATTCATATAGCCACATCTGCCAATCTGCACTCAGGGGATGTTTGAAGCAACAGGAATAACATCAGAGGAGGAGGCGAAGAAGCTTTGGACCCATTCAGAACTCTGATCTGACAGGAACAACATCGAAGGAACGGACAAAGAAGCTTGGACCCGTTCAAAACTCTGATCTGATAGGAACAACGTCGAAGGAGGAGGCGAACTTGCTAAGAAGCTTGAACTCATTCAGAACTTCGATCCGACAGGAATAACATCGGAGGCGAAGAAGCTTGGACCCGTTTAGAACTTCAATCCGACGAGAACAACGTCGGAGGAGGAGGCGAAGAAGCTTGGACCCGTTCAGAACTCTACTTCACGAGAAGCTAAACAACATTAAATAAATGTAGAAGAGGAAAAGAAAACCCTAAACATGCATCCAAACAAGCCCACGCCCTGACGCCCTTGCATCTCAATCCACTTCTACTCTGGTTGCCCTACCTTAGTCAAACTCTCTGCGTCTACTTCGGAGCTTCATGCATTGCTCCTAGATTGATTTCAGGTCAATTGGTTTATTTCGAATTTCCGGGTCAACCTGAACCCGACACGGTTTTATAAACAGGTCGGAAAACTAAACTTGGACCCGACCTGTCAGGCAAAAGAGTTGACTCGAACCCAAATTTTCCGGATCGAATTCGATTCGGGTTTCAAGTTTAGTCAAATATTGACACCCCTAGTTGGAATAAGGTTGCAATCCATGAAATAAGAGCATTGCAGTATTGACTAAGCATTAAGCACTAGTATTTGAAGAAATTTGTTCATCACATTTCTGGTGGATTGAATTTAAAAGCTATTAAGAAAACAATATATCTAATTATCTATAAGATGCTCAAATACAAAACACCTTTAAGCATTATTCAGAAAAACTTACTGGCGGTCTCCTTCAACATCAGGGAGATCTTTGGTTATCGCAATGACCAATGCAAATAATGTCACAAATGCTGTGATGAATGAGACAGGAGAGCTGCAGTAATAAAAAACGTCACATTGCATTATAAATTGTCTCTCCACGAATCTGAAATAACATGTACGAAAATTTTTACTTAATTGTGCTGGTCCTGATGAACTGATCAACAAATCATATAAGATACAACTTAAACTTAAACCTGTCTATTTTATCTAGTTGAGTAAAAAGAGTAATTATTACCTCCAATTAAAGGAAAGGCCCAATGCAGCTCTAGTAGCATAGTATACACCAAAATTGAGAAGAAAACCACGTACCTGATTTAAAATGATTTTGCAAAGCAACCAATGATTTTTTTTTTTTTTTTTTTTTTTGCATTTTTTTTTTTTTTTTTGCAACATGAGAAAGCAGAATATTAAACTAAAAAATAAAGAACTAAAGTGCAGGGAATGGGATATTCCATGCACGCTCAGAATAACTCAACAGTAATCTGTATACTTAGTTTGGTTTGAGCATTTATAGAGGATGGTAGAAAAAGGACAAAAAAAAAATGAATGAAAAGAATTCATGTGAAAGAATAAGGAAGAAAAATAGGTAGAAATTAAGTTATATTACTAGAATTTGTTAAAAAAAAAACTTGCATGCAAAATATAGTAGCCTGCTGATTAAATTCACATGCATTGAGAATATCTTTCAGGTATAAAGTTTCAAAGAATATACTGCTCAAGCGAAATTACAATAATGTCAATTGTTATGATGAAATGCTTTCATGCTTTGCTGCATATGTCCAACAAGAGTCAACGAGCCACATTAATGTAGTTTCTTTGACCAGCCTAATTTGTATCCATCATATTACAACAACCTTTCTCTTGGCATCAGAAATTCTTCCACACAAATTCTTCAACTTTAGATAGAATCTTTAGCTCAGTCTTGGCATGTAAAACAACTTAAAAACTTTAGTATATATCGTTACAAAACTTTAAACTTTCAACCTAAAGTTATCACGTTGCCTCTTTATATCACAATAGAATGGTCTGCAAGTGTATTTAATCGTGACAAGTCTAAAATTATATGAAAAGTGAGTTCATCACTAAACCCTTCAACGAATTTAAGCAAATGCATTCTATTCTGCATGGTATATTGCATGCCACCAGCTCTCAATAAGGGACATTATTTTCTGCGTTTACTTCGTGATTACTAAAAGTGCTGTGGATTGCTGATAATTTGAAATTTATCGACATTACAAAAGTGAAAAGATGATTGAAAATACTTGGGCCTTATTGGATGAATTTATGAAAAATGAACATTGGACTGACACAGCAAGTCAAATTACTTTCTCCTTACCGTATTCACATTATTCATTTGTTCTCATCTCTTCAACCAGCAAGTCAAAGCTATAAATAGACATTGTAAATAGTAAATAAATATGTTTTTAGTGTTATTACAAACCTAAATTTTTCACACTCTATCATCAAATTTGTAGCATAACTGTGAAAATACCGTTGCTGGCAGGAAGCTTGTCAACTGAAAAGTAGAGCATTAATGCAAGTTTATCAGGCTGAAATGCATAACCAAAGGCAAAGTCTATACGGTATTATATGCATTCATTTCTTTTGCGACCTAGGGAATTTAAGCCTTATTAGTTACGACTTATAGGCTTAATATTCTAGTGGCATTGACTTCTACTTATTTCTAGCCTTTCTTACTTCTATTTCTTTAATTTTGAAACAAAAAATAAGTATTTAGATATCTAATAGAATACCGCTCTTGTATACTCATATATGCCTATGTAGGTATCTTGCATAAACCTAACGGATCCCAACCAAGGAACTTGGTCGACGTGGTCGCATCATCCCGGAGGAGCACTTGCCAAGAGGGAACATGACCATATAGTAAGTTTGTCAATGCTAATAGCATATTCACGTCAACTCTCCAAACAAAATCGTAACGAGAATACTCATCCCGACATGCCAAGCCCTAGGGTCACCGTTCTCAGTAAATCTCCTATAAGAACTTGTTCAGACTCACCTTAGCCTTGGATATCATTCATCTCGACAAGAACCAATCGTCCATAGTCACTCTTCAAAGTCATGGCCCTTTGGCCAACACCAACATCCTCAATCTAGCTATAAGAAACACACACACCTCGCTAGTATTATTATTATTATTATTTTTTTTTTTTTTTGGGGGGGGAAAAATTTTTTAACTTTTACTATTTCCAATATTTTTTTTTTTATTAGGGGCGCTATAGTGGTGCTCGGCTCACGATCATTTGAATTCAAGGTGGACTCATCCTTTTCGCACTGCTCCAGAAGGATTTGAGTCGACATCCCATGGAACCTCATCACCACTCTAAAGTTGCTCCTCACATACTTGCCCTATACGCCCTATCATTTGGATCAATGCAGGGGATCCCCTATAACAGAGGGTTGCGTTTGAGACATGAGACACATGAGAGAGATCAATCAAGTAGGCAACATTTCTGACAAAAAAATGTAATAAGTCATATCATATATTATATTTTTCACTGTTTTTTTTTTCTTTTAAAATTAGTTTTCTTGTACATCTAAGCCATACAAATAAAAGGCGATGGGCTATGTTGGGATTTTTGGGGCTTTTGGTTCTTTTAGATCTTTTAGATTCATATTTCCCATGTGTGACTTACAGAAACATAGAACTCTCTTCATACACAGTCATATCCTCTTAATTCTCAACTCTCATTTAGAGAATATTTAGTAAATCAAGTATCATCCACAAAAAAATTTAGATCAAATCAATTCTAGATAATGTTTTTGGCATTAAAATCACTTCCTTTAAATTTTATCAAAAGAAATTTTTCCAATTTGTTTTTGTAGAATGTTTATTCTTTTTTTATAATTGAAGGTGCGTTATTTGCTCATAATTTAGTATCTCTGATCTTCCAGTACTTTACTTTTCGCTATATGAATATAGCAACAATGGTTTAAGATATACACATACAAAGAGTCATTTAATCAAACAAGATAAGGCCATCGTTGTACTTTGCAAAAATCCAGAGAACTT